TGCTGGTTTGCTGCTGCTGCTGCTGGGCTGCTGCTGCAGCTGCTTTGCTGGTTTGCTGCTGCTGGTTGGCTGCTGCTGCTGCGGCTGCTTTGCTGGTTTGCTGCTGCTGCTGCCGCTGGTTTGCTGGTTTGCTGCTGCTGCTGCTTCTGCTGGTTTGCTGGTTTGCTGCTGCTGCTTTGCTGGTTTGCTGCTGGTGCTGCTTTGCTGCTTTGCTGGTTTGCTGCTGCTGCTTTTCTGAATTGCTGGTTTGCTGGTTTGCTGCTGCTGCTGCTGCTGCTTTGCTGGTTTGCTGGTTTGCTGCTGCTGCTGCTGCGCTGCTGGTTTGCTGCTGCTGCTGCTGCTCTGCTGCTTTGCTGCTGCTGCTGCTGCTTCGCTGCTGCTTTGCTGCTGCTGCTGCTTCTTCTTCTTCTGCTGCTCTGCTGCTGCGCTGCTGCTGCTTTGCTGCTTTGCTGGTGCTGCTGCTGCTGCTGCGCTGCTGCTGCTGCTTTGCTGCTTTGCTGCTGCTTTGCTGCTGCTTTGCTGGTTTGCTTCTTTGCTGCTGCTTCTGCTTGGCTGGTTTGCTGCTGCTGCTTGGCTGGTTTGCTGCTGCTGCTGCTGCTTGGCTGGTTTGCTGCTGCTGCTGCTGCTGCTTCTTTGCTGGTTTGCTGCTGCTGGTTTGCTGCTGGTTTGGTGCTGGTTTGCTGCTGCTGCTGCTGGTTTGCTGCTGCTGCTGCTTTGCTGCTTTGCTGCTTCTTTGCTGCTTTGCCTTCTTTGCTGCTGCTGCTGGTGCTGCTGCTGGGCTGGTGCTGGTGCTGCTGCTGCTGCTGCAGCTGCTTTGCTGGTTTGCTGCTAGTTTGCTGCTGCTGGTTTTGCTGCTGCTGCCGCTGCTTTGCTGGTTTGCTGGTTTGCTGCTGGTTTGCTGCTGCTGCTTTGCTGCTTTGCTGCTTTGCTGCTGCTGCTTTGCTGGTTTGCTGCTGCTGCTGGTGCTTTGCTGGTTTGCTGCTGCTGCTGCTGCTGGCTGCTTGCTCCTGCTCAGAATCTTCCAACCTCTACCTACCTTTCGTCCACCTCCGTCGCCTCAAGTATATATCGTTAACCGGGCCCCGGTGAACCAGTGGCCTACCCAGCAACGCGAGATTGGTCGTAAACGCGTGCCAACGACGATCGAAACCCTTTTGTAAACGGACCCATCATGTCCATTTTGTCCCGCGCGCAGTGTGGTGTCAGCTAAATAGTCATTCTTTGCCCACAGCAACGTCCAAGAAAATCCAAGTTTGTTAGCGCGACATTGTCTGACTCACGAAAGCTTCGAGAACACTGAGCAGACCTGGACTGTCTTTCAAACGAGTGCCGCGCAGCATGGTCTATATATGTGGTTTCTTTTGGCTGGAGATCCACGGCCCAACCGTCAAGACTTTCCTTCTTTAATCCTTTGTCACGTTTAAGAGACCAGGAAGGGCTTATCCTTCTTGGCTGCTTGTCCACCCACCCACCCCCGCCCACCCCACCCCACCCCACCCCACCTCGTTTTAATCACACGACTAATCGATGACAATGTTGTGATGTCGACTTACCACACGGGGGTGGGTTGCACGAAGCCACACCATACGTGGGTTAACCTGATTCTGCTGGGGCAGCGCGTGCGCGTTCACGTGCAGTCGGGGTTGGTCGGGTTCAGAAACTGGGTGGTGCAGATTTAAGAAAGGCAATGTTCTTTTGCATTGTATTCAGGTTAAACTTTTGGTTTGGCAAGGTTGGGTTTTTGCTTTGTGTTTTGGTCCGCTTGCATTCATTGTTGCTTGAGTGTGCGGAGTGCATGGACATGTGTTGCATATTTGGCCCATTGTTCGCAGGAATATGATGCCGGTGGTGGGGCGCAGCCTTGGCGAAAACTTGCAAAGACTGAGGACGCTGAAAGTTCAGAGCCGAACCCCTGGAGGTTTAAAGCGGGCTCACAGCTGAAAGCGCGAAAGAGGGTTGTGGGAACCCATGTCCTGGCAGGTTGGAAAGTGTGCCTGCCTGTTAGTGTTGCTTTGATTTGGCGGTGTGGTTTGCTGGAGGGTCCACTAGCTTGGAAGACCGGAGGCTCCAACAGTCCATTCGCATGGGATGCTCTCACGAGAATGACTATTCCAGCACATCAAATTCCAAGTTTCGTGCAATTACTGCCCCAGCCCCCTGTCCCCTGCATCCGCCACCTGCGAACACTAATTTTTTGATAATCTAAGACGGGGAATTGCAGAGGGGTGGTTGGGGCAGAGGAAAGCCTGCTAGTTTAGCTGTTTCGCACTATCCCAAAAATTCATTTTTGGTGCAGAAGGTAGAGTATATAACAGCTTGTCATGCGTTAGCACGAGCACAATTCCACCCTTTGTGCTTTTGGCAGGACGGTCGCCTTCCAAACCTTGGACTGGCAGGCCCATTTCAGATGACAAGCGGCTGAGGCAGCTGAGGCCCATCTTTCGCTGCGTATGTCATAATCCAAATTGTTGTGAGCCATGTCACTGCCTTGCAGGAATTGAATCCCTTGAATCCTGTGCTGGCCATTTTGAAATTGGGCAGTTTCACCATTGTTGCACACTTCAAGCTTCAAAATGCTTCGGTAGTTAGTTTTTTTTTTGGAATCGGGTCATGAGCATATGCAGTTTGGTGAATGCAGAGGGTTGCTATTCACGAGTGGTTCTAACATTGGCCACGTTGCGAGTGGCAAGTTTGGTAGATTCTTTTGGGTGCGTACGGTAGGCAACGCCGCATGCATACTACCAGTCTAGCACTGTTGGCCGGTACCTTCGGCCAAGCCACATGGACAGAGCGCCAATTCGTACATATATCAGATTTTCGATGCGGAGGAAACAATGCCATGCATCCCAACGAATTGCTCAGTCTTCGCGCAGAAAAGTGCTGGAGTGATTGCCCGCGATGGCCCGCATGCAGTTTCTGTGACAGAAAAGAGCAAAGGACAAGGGGCTCCACTCCTTGCAATATAAGGGTGCTGGTAGTTAAATATACCAATTAGCTACTTGTTTCTACTAGCTTCTTGTTACTACTAGTAAGGCACTTGTTACTACTAGCGTGGCACTTGTTACTACTATTAAGGGTGCTTTGCGTTCGGCCTAGCAGGGCCACAAGAAACATTGCACACATGCGGTTCCAGCAAACCACAACAAACCGCAACACCATTGTCTTGGAGCATGCCAAACACACACACAGATATATATATATATATGTGTGTGTGTGTGTGTGTGTCAAGGAGAGTGAAAGCCACTGAAACAGGCATTCCTGGCAAACATCGCTGGTTTCAATTTCGAAGCGCACATCACCGACTCATGGACTTTTCCACCAGCTATCAAGTACCAGGACCACACGGATCCACACAGTCAGGCGTATGTGTGCAGAAATGAAACTGCAATTGTCGTTCGGCGGTCGGTGGAGACAGAATGCCCTTGCTGTCCTTGACCCACAGTATCTCACAGTTTGTATAGGAATCCGCCCCCTTTAAAGTGTATCCAGCAAACTTGAGCCTGTCTAGTATGCACACAAGTCTTTTTTTGGAGCAAGGGTTGCCCTCCCAACCAAGTAGTGGATTTTTTGGGCCACAGGAAGGAGAAACAAGGGACAATATTGGCAAAGGACGCTGAGAGGCGTTGTATTTGGACGGTCTACGTGAGGTGAATCTGAGAATGCCACGAAGGCACGCCGATATGCTGCATTCCACTGCTTGGTATGGAACTCCGCAACCGGTGATTCTGTGTGCAAGCACCAAAAGCTGCACACAAACGATTTTGGCAAGGTGCATTCTTTTTGGCGTTTTTGTGTCCCTTTGATTTGTGTTGGGTGCGACTTGGGGCTCACAGGCTTTCCACCACAGTGACCAAGTGCTACATGTGCTGCCTCGATGCAAGCCCAAACAGGACATCTTTAGAGTTGAGCAGCACTTTCCCACAGCCTCCTGCAGAAAACAACGCAACAAAAAGTTCCCGCAGGGCGCCTGATAGCATGCTCGGCTCTAGCACCTAAAGCTGTCAATGTGCTCCCACCGTGCCACTTGCAGCTCGCTCTGCCAGTTGCCAGCCAACAGGTGCCAAAGCAGCTTGGCTTGCTTCGGGTTGGTAGCTGTAGGTATAGACCATGTTTGAACGTGCAAGACGCGAGCAGCAAAGTTAGCAAAGGGTGGTAATCTTGGGCATGGACCAGCTTGTAGTCCAAAAGTTTCGCACCATCTCACCACACGACGAGAAAAACCAACTCTCCACGAAGAACATGTGCACCAAACACAACCATTGCTTTTATTTGATCGCGGCAGCAAGCCCAAAGAATGAAACAAACTTGTGTGCTTCAGGGCTGGAAACTGGTTGTAGCAATTACTGTGCTTGTAGATTTTCTTGTTTGCTATAGCTTTCGGTCCCTGACCTGATGTGGAAGTTTGTCTGTGCGCCTTCGATGGAATCTCTGCAACCATTTTGGGTTGCAGAGCGACACTGGAAGAGTTGGTGAGCACTTGCAAGGATGTCCGAGTTTAATTCTGACATCCGTGTCGTGTGAGCCGAGCCAGTGAGAAAGGGCAAGCAACATGGGCCTCACATTTCTTGGTCTAGGCTTCTTGTCAGGCTGTTGGGGACGCAGCTGTGTGTTTGTTGAAGCAGCACCTGCTGTTGCCTGGAGGTATGTAAGCTTGCATGTCATCGGTGTTTTTGAGGATGGGCGTGGAAGACCATGAACTTGTTCATCCAGACGCGATCTCACCAACCCTTCGATGCCCCATTTGCACCGATGTGTTGCTCAGTGCAATTGTGGAGGGGTGGCAACAAAAGGGGAAATTGGTGGAAACAGCACTTTGGAGTGACCGGAGGCGTATTCAGTGAATTGCAGGTTTGAAGAGCCTGTTTCATGCAGCGCTTGTCAGCAGGTCTCTTGGCTGAAGCATGAGAAGAAGCGACTAGGTTGTAACTTGCTAATAGTTTGACCACCCAGACACAAGTTTTACAAAGTTGTGCAGCAACAAACAAGCAGTTTGTTGAATTAGGTCTTTTGCAAGACTTGCATCGAGCATGTTTTGCTGACTTGCAAGCCTGCGTGTCCTACCTGCCGAGCACCTTTGACAAAGAGCTTGCAGTACCTTCGCCTCATTTCGTGGAGATGCTTTGGTCAGTTTGGGGGTCTTTAGTGGGGACACATGCGTAGAAGTAGCATGGGAAGCCTGCCCCACGTGCGATGCAAGGCCTAATTTCTTGGTGCGATCTTTGCTCAACGAGCTTCATGTGCGGTGTGTACATCCGGGTTGCTACTGGACTGGTCGGCTGGATGAGCGGGCAGCTCATGGTACCCATTGCTTGGCCCGTCACCTGCTTTTGATGCAGGCACCTGGCCGTCGTAGCTCACCTTTGTGAGAAATTCATGCTTTCATGCTTTCTAGGGCCCAATTTCCTTTGATTGCGTGCAACTATGGAACTTGCAAGAAAGAAGACTATATACCCCACAAAAGACAAACATTTGCAGAACTGATTTCTGCCTTTGAGACGTAGCATCCTTGCCTGATTGTGTTCGCCTCTGTGCCAAACTGTCGGCCAAAATGCCTGCCAGCCGACCACCTGCTGCTTTTAGAGACTGGACAGCAGCCAGATACAGGTTAGAACACGGATCCAGGTCAGAAGGGCAACCGCAGAAATGATTGAAAGGAACGATGATGTGGAGGGTGTCTGGCACATTTTGGTTTTAAATTTTAGAGCATCTCTGATGGGTTACTGTTTAGTCTGCAGCCTGAGAATAGTTTGGAGCTGACCGGCCCCAGACCCCTGCGCAACTCTTGAAAAATGACTCGCTAGGGCAAAGGTAATCGGTAGCGAAATTCCATGCCTTGTCGCCTTGTGGCGCTAGAAAAAGCTATGTCTCAAAAAGCGTGCAACACATTCAATGATTTGCGCAACAGACATTCAGGACACTTCTTGCGTCCAAACAAAGCAGCCAACCTTGGGCTTTTCCCGTGTTGCCCTTGGGCTCACCGCCCAGAACCCCCGGCTAGTGGTTCGTGAGACCCTGTTGACCGAAGGGCAGCCAGGCGGTGTGAGACACTTCAGACAAAGCTTCACCGAGCCGCAGGGTCTCAAACTGAGCTGTGCCTCACTTCCAACAACGCTGCACACATTTCCAACGCGTTTTGCTTTGCGAGATGCAACACGCTCCAAAGCGAGAAACATTTCAGCAAGCAATTATATATATAGTTCAGGTGAAGCTGCAGGAATCCAAAGCAGCTTCGGACGAACGTTATGCTTTACGAACACAAGCATTCTGATTCTGGTCTCTCATCATAGCAGTGATGGAGGAGCTGATGCCTCAACGTGCAAACCAATCCAAGTGGGATGGGTAACCCCCAATGTCCATCGCAGAAGGAACAGGCATCGCAAACTGCATTCAACTCCGGATTTCACAGCCGCACCGTTTCAGTACAGTGTTCCTACTGTATGAGTTGCAGGCTGAGTCTGCACGCAGGAGTGGAAGATTCAACTGGAGAATATGCGCTCAGTGCTGGTGGATGGGGAAAAGGAAAGAAGTGCAATGCGGCGACACATAGAGCTCCTGTCCAGCCACAAAATGCAGCTGGAGGAAGAGGCGTTGTGCACATGTGTTCCTGGGGTGTTTGTTATTACTATTATATATTATATATTCTTATTGTGATTTTTTATTGTTCCGGTCCTGTGCGCAGGCCAAGGTGCAGCAACTGCAGCTCAATGCAAAGCAGCACATGCTAGACTTCAAGCAGCAGGAAGTGGACGAGTTGAGATGCCAGATCGGGCAAGTTATGAAGCAGCACCATGCTAGCCACTTTCAGCTACATTCTTTGTTCCCACTTCTATTTTTGTTTCTTTTTGTGCTACATGTGTGGTTCTTCTATGACATTTTGCCAGCAGTGCTCGGAATCCGAGATTGTGTATTGTCAACTCAAGTGGCCTACAGAGGTTGGTCATAGTCTGATGCATAAAGCGTCGGCACGGGTGAAATCCAGATGTGATTTCTTGGGGTTCCACAGGGCAGCTAATTCAAGCCTGATGAGCCTTCTTGGACTTTCTTCTCCCAGGAATTGTGTTCGTATCCAAGAGCTGTGGCTTTGTGTGTTGCTTCGTGAGTTTCGGTATTGGGCAGAAGGTGTGTCCAAATGGGGCATTTTGTATAGCGCAATTGGCTTCGTTTTGGTGCAGGGCTTGGAACTTGGCGCTGCCAACGGTTAACAAAACTGGAGGTTGATTGAGAGAGAGAGAGAGAGAGGGAGGGCAAGAGAGTGAGAGAGATATTCTCAAATGAATCAGATGTGATGACAGAAACAACTTGACGAAATTGCCGCTGAGAGACTTTCCAAGCAGTTGGGGCACACCACGGGTGTGCCCCTCGGCGGCCCTTTAGGGCCCATTCAGCGGCACGTTTGCACTTGAGGCCAGATACAGCAGAGACAAGAATCTGGTGTTTCCAAGTGCCAGAAGGGCGCGGTGCTGTGTTTCATAGTGGGATGTGGACAAATTTCATGTTTCGCTGTGTCAGGTCCTTGCACCTTCCCGCTGCACCCCAGCGGGCTGAGTGACTACACCTATGTTTGGTCAGGCCCCACAAGGAGGCTTTGGAGGCTTCGGCAACACTGGTGGCGGCCTTTTTGGTTTGGGACTTATAAGTACATGGGGTGCCTTTTGAACATAGCAAGAGTGTATGTATATTTTGCAAGATCGCACTGCCTCCGATTCAGGTGCCAACACTGGTGGGGGCATGTTTGGAGCCAACAGTGGCGGTGGCATGTTTGGGAACACTGGAGGTGGCCTCTTTGGTGGAGGGCAGAGCAGCCCATTTGGGAGCACCGGTGGCGGAATGTTTGGAGCACAGCCCAACTCTGGCGGCATCTTCGGAGGCCAAGGCGCTCAAGGCGCACAAGGTGGCCTCTTCGGGGGCTTTGGGCAAAGCCAGGCTTCAGGAGGATTATTTGGGCAACAGCCAGCACCAGCAGGTGGCTTGTTTGGCCAGAGTTCCGGTGGTGGCCTCTTTGGTGGCCAAGCAAGTTCTGGAGGTCTCTTTGGGCAACCTATGCAGCCTGCTCAAGGTGGCATGTTTGGAGGTGGTGGCTTTGGGGGTGCACCTGGAACAACCACCAAAATGCAGGATATTATTGATCAGGAAACTAAATTAAAGTATGCACACATTGGCGTCATGGACTGCTACAAGAACAAGTCCTTTGAGGAGTTGGACCCCCAGTTGGTTGCAAAGCTGTTGTGTGTTTGCTTGTGTGTGCACGTGTGCAGTGGATTGAGTTTCTTTCGCGGAAGGCTACGCATGGAGGACTACCAAGCCAACCGTTTACAAGCAGGACAAGGCAGGGTGCAAGTTGAAGGACTCGAAAGGAAGGCACCCTTCTGAATTTGTTTCGGTGTTACGATTATGTTGAAAGGACTTCCTGATACAAAAGCATAGAATTTGCCTAGGGCCCAGCGTGTGCTTGACACTGGAGTTGCAGGAGCTCAGGCAGCTCCAAGTGCTTCGGGCGGCTTGTTTGGCCAGAGCTCCAGCCCTTTTGGAGCCCAGTCCTCTGGAGGTCTATTTGGAGGAGGCGTGGATTATGATCACAGACAGGTTCGAAGCTCAAGACATGTTGAGGTGACGAGTAGTGAGTAGTCTTTGTTTCGCGAGTCTAAATTGTTCATAACTTGTGCTGAAGTCTCCTTGCTGTGAGGCGGCCTCTTCGGTCAGACCGGTGGGGGCTTGTTTGGTCAGAGTTCAGGAGGTGGTCTTTTTGGCCAGAGCAGCAGCGGAGGTTTGTTCGGAGCAAACACAGGTGGTGGGCTATTTGGCCAGAACACCGGAGGCGGCATGTTCGGAGGCAACACTGGCGGTGGCCTTTTCGGCCAAAACACAGGCGGCGGGCTATTCGGCCAGTCCAGCGGCGGTGGCCTGTTTGGTGCAAACACGGGAGGTAGCATGTTCGGTCAGAACACAGGTGGAGGGCTCTTTGGCAATACAGGGGGGGGGAGGCCTCTTTGGTGGGCAGAACGCAGGTGGAGGATTATTCGGACAGAACTCAGGTGGGGGTTTGTTTGGAGCAAATGCCGGTGGTGGCCTCTTCGGAGCAAACACAGGTGGGGGCGGCCTTTTCGGAGGGAACAGCGGAGGCTTTGGACAGACAGGGGGTGGCCTCTTTGCTCAAAGCAGTGGTGGTTTATTTGGCGCAAGACCTCAGAGTGGCGGTCTATTTGGTGCAAGTTCTGGCTGGCTCCTTATTTGTTGTCCAGACATGCGGAGCATCCTGAGTCTGACTCCTAAACTTCTAGATCACAAAAACGCAAACACTCACAACACGTCGCGTTGTTGTCGCGTGGACCCCCGTTTGACACAAACATCCGGCTGTTGGAGGAAGCTTTTGGAACAGGGCTTGGATGGATGGACAAAGTATCTGTTTTTTGTGAAACTTGGGATTTGATCTTGAAGCACTTGCCTACGAGAGAAGAGTGTCCGACACGAGTGTGTGACGAGAGTGTCCCACAAGAGTGTCCCACAAGAGCGTGGAGTGTCCCACACGAATGTGTGCGTGTGACGAGAGTGTCCCACAAGAGTGGCCTACAAGAGTGTCCAGCAAGACTGTACTATATAGAGTTACTAGTTACTAGAGGAGCGTGTCACCACAGAATCCTGTTCAAGGGTGTTTTTGAAGGCTGTCAAGCAAGAGCGTCAAACAACATTTGGCCCTTTGTGCTTGCTTACGGGTGCATTTGGCCTTGCGGGGTTCTATCAGGTTTCCTTCTTGTTGCTCGTTTGCGTAGTCAGCAAGACACAGTCCCGGCCAGTCTGACCGCATGCATTTCCAAGCTTTGGTCGCAGATTCTGGACCTTCAAAAGGCAACGCAGCCAGTTTTAGGCATACTTAATCATTCCCGCAAGAAACCCTAAACAGTGATAGATCAAATCAGGAAGGGGGTCTTTCCATACTATATCTACAGCCAGCCCTGCCTGGGTAAACCCACGCACCAGGCAGTCACAACAATACACATCAGAGTGCACATAAACACGTATATACACAAATGCACCACACATCACATATCAGCGCACACATGTAAGAGAGCGCGCACACACTCATGGATATGCGTACTGACTTGATAGCGGTGCCACACGCCGGCCTAGGGTACCAATTCCTAAGAGTACGAGTAAGAACCACGGAGCCTCGGGGTCTTCAAGAGGAAGTAGGGCCAAAGTCTCAAGATCGAAGGCGACGATCAAGTCGACATGACGACGTACGTACGCTCTTGACTGCCAAATGCATTAGCCCTTTACCAAAGGTTAAAAATTGTGCAGGTACAAGTGGTTGATCAGACCACTCATCCACCGAAATGCCATAGCTTCGTTGGACTGGATAGGCAAATCGGCTCCAGTCCCCCTGCTAAAAGTTCAAATCATTTCAAACCAATCCGGAGGATCCCTATGATTCCAAGGGGTACACACACACACACTTATTGAATTGCGTACGGATTTGGTTGCGGTTGTTAAAAAAGAAGCCTGAGTAAAACGAGGCACGAAAGTTGGTCATCGCTCTTAGGTTGGAGGCCGTCGAAGGCAGGTTGAGGGGCCATCGCTAGTAGGTTGGTGACAAGAAACAAGACAGCAAAGCAGTCAAAGTTGGAGGTCCTCTCTCTTTTAGGTTGGAGGCCATCGAAGGCAGGTTGAGGGGCCATCGCTAGTAAGTTGGTGACAAGAGCCGAAACTGTAAAACCATCAAAGTTGGGGGTCTTCGTTCTTAGGTCGGAGGCCGTCGAAGGCAGGTTGGGGGCCATCGCTAGTAGGTTGGCGACAAGAAGCACAAGAAACACAAGACAGCCAAGGTTAGAGGCCAATGCTAGTGGGTGGAGGCCAACGATTTCAGGTTGAAGGACAACGTTACAAGTTTGGAGGCCTACCTGCAAACCTATAGAGTAGAAGAGAGGAAAAACAGAAGGAAAGGCACCGACACACAAGTGTGTCGAGTACCATTCCCTTCTGTTTTCCCAAATAGTGGAGCAGGCACACAGAGCTGATCAGGCCCTGCATCCCCCTCTTGTCCACAGCTTCATTGCGAGTGGTAGGACAAGAGGGCCACACGCCCCTGCTCCAAACCAAAAGGTTCCCTGTGAGGTGAAGGGTTTCACACCCCCCCCCCAAAGGGAGGCATGCTTGGCCTCCATCCTGCCCGGCAAGGAGGCACCCCCATCCTGCCCGGAAAGGGGGTTATGCGAAGCACATGTGCACGCAAAGGAGACAGATGAAAAAGAAAAGGAAAGAGACAAGACAGACAAAAAGTGTGTGTGTGTGTGGTTGCCGATGAAGTGGAACCAAGTGAAGAGGGACAACCGATGAGCCAAACCTCATTGTAACAAACCTGAGGCACCTGAATCTAGTTTCAAGCAGAATACGCGTGTGTGTATGTGTACAAACTAAGGCCCGGGCGAAAGTGCGCGCAAGAGAAAAGAAAGGTTGAGGATGACGAGACATGAAGACAGAAGGACCTGAAAGAAAAGAAGGAAAGACGTCCGTGGGGGCCAATGAAGAGGGGAACCAAATGAAAGGGGCCAAACCGATGACAGACCAAACCTCATTGAAGAGAAGCCTTGTTTGCTTGTAGGCACGCCGCGCGCGAGAAAGGAGGGGGGGAAGGGGGAAGAATCGAAGGTGTTCCCAGCTACGACTCAAGTGTCCAAGGACACACCAAAAAGGAAGGGCTCCCAGCTATGACGAAAACATCCAGGGACACCCAAGCAAGAAAGGGAAACAGTGAGAGAGAGAGAGAGAAAGAGAAAGAGAAAGATACAGGGAAAGGAAAGAGGAGGAGAAAGAGAAGGGAAGAAGGGAGAGGGGACAGGTGTTCCCAGCTACGAGCAAGCGTCCAGGGACACACCAGGGGGAGGGGGGAACCTGAGTGCTGCATTCAGGAACACACCAAAATGGCAAAGAAGAGAGGGGAAGGGGAGGAAGGAGGGCAGGTTCCAATGAACCTTCAACTTGCTTTGACCGCTATGGTCACCTTGTGCCGTGCCAAAATGGCTGGCTGCTCTGACTGCTGTGGTCACCTAAAGGCGTGCCAAAATGGCGGCCAGCTTGGAATTCAATAATCCGTCAAGTCTTGGCAAATAACTTTGGCTTAAGCGTCCTACGCTCGCGTATCCGGGCAGGGGGTACGTTGGACAAACCCCGGTCGACAGGTTCACAGGGGGCACTCTGTGGGCTCACCCTGGCCTCTCAAAATGGGCTCTCACGAGGAGAGGCACACTTATTGAATTGCGTACGGATTTGGTTGCGGTTGCCACGCGCCAACCTAGGTTAAAAAAGAAGCCTGAGTAAAACGAGGCGCGAAAGTTGGAGGTCATCGCTCTTAGGTTGGAGGCCGTCGAAGGCAGGTTGAGGGGCCATCGCTAGTAGGTTGGCGGCAAGAAGCAAGACAGCAAAACAGTCAAAGTTGGAGGTCCTCTCTCTTAGGTTGGAGGCCATCGAAGGCAGGTTGAGGGGCCGTCGCTAGTAAGTTGGTGACAAGAACCGAAACTGCAAAACCGTCAAAGTCGGTGGTCTTTGCTCTTTGGTTGGAGGCCGTCGAAGCAGGTTGAGGGGCCATCCCTAGTAGGTTGGTGACAAGAAGCGCAAGAAACACAAGACAGCCAAGGTTAGAGGCCAATGCTATAGTGGGTGGAGGCCAACGAATTCAGGTTGAAGGACAACGTTACAAGTTTGGAGGCCTACCTGCAAACCTATAGAGTAGAAGAGAGGAAAAACAGAAGGAAAGGCACCGACACACAAGTGTGTCGAGTACCATTCCCTTCTGTTTTCCCAAATAGTGGAGCAGGTACACAGAGCTGATCAGGCCCTGCATCCCCCTCTTGTCCACAGCTTCATTGCGAGTGGTAGGACAAGAGGGCCACACGCCCCTGCTCCAAACCAAAAGGTTCCCTGTGAGTCCAAGGGCTTCGCGCGCGCGCACACACACACACACTTAGACACAGGGTTTACAGTTTCCATAATCCACAGTGAAATGGATGTGGGAACGGCAATGCGCAAAATCGGCCCAAGTGAAGTGTTCAACAATGTTGCGCGTGACTGCGGAAAGCTGCGGTGGCATCGCGCAAACGCGGTGGAGGGACATGTTTTGGGGGTATCGTGAAACAACCATGGAAGCAAACCGCAGCGTGGGAAAAAGTTGAGTCATACCATCCGCAGGTACGTGAGTCAAGCGTTCTTGACTCATAGAGTCATGACTGTTGCGTTCAGCGGGGCGGCTGCTTGTTTGTTTGGTTGAATTTGATTGTCAGCATTGTTCTTTGTTGCCCCATCGGACTGGAGCAAACGGGGTCAGACTGACATGTCCCCAGCTGGAAGGAAGGGCGGTCTGCTGCGCGGCTTTTTGGTAAATTGAGCGGTTGGGAGACAGAGGAAGAGTTTCAGCCAGCGTTTTGGTTGTTGTCAAGGAGAGAGGAGAGAGGAGAGAGGAAAGAGGGGTGCGGTTGCCAACTGCACAGTGAAAGGCACAGGTCGCAGTTGAAATTCATGGTGCTGGGAGGATGCTGTGGTGTGGTCGTAAGCGCGCCGCGGCTCGGCAGCACGGCGGCGCTGCGCAGGTAAACGGCAATGACGGTGTCTTTAAAACCTAAAAAGCCTTAGAAAAAAGAAGACAGGAAGACAGAAAGAGCAAAAAGAAGAGGGCAAGAGAGAAAGATAGGTGTAGTGCCGTGCAGATCTGTCGAGCAAAAGTGCCGAACGAACGGCAAATTAAGGGGTCAGACGCCTGTACCCCCTGCATTCTTGTCTTCGCGCGCGATCAGTATTGCTCTTTGTTGCTCCATCGAACCGAGTGACTACTTAGCACTTGACTACTTAGCCTTTGACCAAAAAAACAGGGGCAGGGAAACGAGCATCAAGAACCACCTAACGAGCCGCAAAGAACACCTAGAAAACGAAGAAAGCGCAAGAGAGAAAGGGGGGAGAGGAAGGGGGTGTATGTCCATGTGTGTGTGTGCAT